GGGGGGGCTCGAGATCAGGTAAAGAGCTGAAGAGAAAGACAAACTTTGTAAGAGGAAGGATCAATATATATAATAAGCCGTGATCAGAAAACTTTCCTTTATAGGGTTTTTGACTCCAGCCAGCTCGTGAAAACATTGTCCGACACTGGACCTTTTTGGGAAGGAAAGAAAAAAGGTTTACTACTATTTCTAGATATCAAAGAAGAGAAACGAGTAAATGGCTTTAATACACGGTACCTGTACACTGTGTGTACGTGCGCACCCACACGCGTGTGTGTGTCTGTGTGTGTGTGTTTGTGAGTGTGTTTGTGTGTCAGTGTGGTTGTCTGTGTTTGTTTGTGTGTGTTTGTGTGTGTTTGTGTGTGTGTTTGTTTGTTTTTTTTGGGGGGGAGAGGGGGTATGTTTATGAAGCGAAGAAAGACACTTTTTTGTTTTCGTTTTACATCACTTGCAACACAAATTAGACCGTATATAATATATAAGTATGACGATAAGAATAGGGCTGTTACAAGAGAGTAACAAATATAGAAAAGGAGGAGAGTACTGATAAAAACTGACTATGATTGAATGGAATACTTTGAGAAAATGAGGGGGGGGGGGAGTTAAAATCACTCATTTGTAGATTTTGATGCCAAGAAGAGGTGTGTGGCCTTTAATAAGGACGATAGATGTGTGGTAGAAAAGTAGGAACAAACTACACCAAAGCACCCGCCAACCACCCATTAAAATGCACTTTTATTCCACGTCCTGCTCCTAAATTTTTCTTCTACTAGATCTACCCCTGTAGGAGCCCAAGAAATAACTGACTGTAAGATCGCTCTCTCCACAATGCAGTTGATTTTCAAATAGAACGTAGAATGAATCATCCTTTGCCTGACAGACCACAACGTGCCGTTTTCGAATGCACTCATTAGCATTATTATTATAATTATTATACTGACAAAAACGGTTTCAGTATTCAGGTAAGAAAAAAAATTTTAAATCCTTGAGTGAACGGTCTAATCATCTCTTCAAGTGTGGTTTCAATTTCGGGTGGGAATAATTTTGAATTTTTGAGCGAAGAGCCATATCTTATCAGGTGTGGTTTCAGTATTCGGGTAGGAACATTTTTGAATTTCAACCTTCTCAATGTTGGAATCGTCAGAGGATCTTTACCTTGGAAAAACTTGTACACGTAACCTCAGGACTATTTCATCCGCATCGGAGGAGATTATTTGCTGGATCCCACCTACCTTAGTGTTTTAGCGCCAGTTGAATGACATCTTGCCTTTATGCTTTACAGGAAGTTGAGATTGTTTCAGAATGCTATCAGGTCTGCTGGGGTAATAATATAGGTTGGAGAGCGTATAGAGCTTGCTGTTGAGCGGGAATTTACGCTATACAAAATGCTATTTATTTATCTATTTCTTTATTGTTACCTGCCTACCAGTGAGGGCTTGACTACCTAGACTGCACTGCAACCTACCCAAAACCTTAAACTAAACTAGGAGAGTAGAAAGCACAAAAAGGGAAACCACAACGAAACAAAACAAAACAAATAAAAACAACACTTGCAGAGCAAAGACTTCGAGACAGTCTCAAGCCTGGCGGCGAAGGGGTTAAGGGAAATGACTGAGCAGACAGCAGCAAGCAGTGACGACTGTTTTAAATGAGGATGAAAAATTAATATCGATGATGACTGATGGCATGAGAAAAGGAAATGAAAATGTTTGTGCTCCGATAAGAAATCTCTCTCTCTCTATTTTAGCAAAAGAAGGAGAAAGAATGTTCGGATATTGTAGGCCCAGGGTGAACAGACACGACCGTAAGTCGATATTCAAGTAAGGGGATTGACGTTTTGTTGTATATGCCTAACATATAGGTGTGGAAAGGCGGGGGTTGGGGGGGGGGCGCTCATCGTGGTCTAGAAGTTACGGTGTTCTCTTCTCATTCAAGACTTTTTTTGTTTTTGTAAAGTGTTTTACGGCGCTCGCAACTGCATAGGTCATATGAGCGCGCGGGACACACCTAATATTTTCAGTTGGTAGGAAATTTTGAATTTTGCCCGGGTGGCGGCCGAAGCCTACTCTTATCGATTTTAGACCACCAAGGGATCTTTAACGTGCGCAACTTGCAC